TCTGTTTAAACAGAATTAACAAGTTGTGGTAGAAGCCCAGGGTGAGGAAAACTGAGAATGCTTTAAGAACTTAATTTTGTTGTATGGCCTTTCACATTTGAGAGGCATTTGCATCAAGCTAACTTGGCCATTTCTTCTGCATGTTTTCTTTGTCAAGTATGCCTGACAAATATCACTCCCAAACAAAGATGAAGTGAAAATGGAAATCTGTTTGTTGACAGACTTACCACTGTTCTTACCTAATGACAACAGCTGGCAACCATGTTGATTCCTCCCTAGCTTTTATCCAAATACTATTGATTAGGTACAGTGGCCGTATTCATTCCTGTTTGAACACATCTTAGCCAGTTTTGAATAGACTGTCTTTTCTGCTTAACTGAGGCTTAGACACAGCACAGGCTTCAGCAGACTGCATCTTGCCATCCTGCTTGAAAATCCTGCTACAAGCATCACCCCAGCTAGGCTGCCATCATTGTTCAACCCCACCTGCTTCAAAGCCAGCTTGAAGTGTGCTGTATCCCCTAGTGAATGCTTGACGTGTGTCAACAAGCATGAATCAGCAATAGCAATCATGTTTATTCTAGCAGAAGTGCGCACGAGAGGAACTTGAAACAGACAAACCGTGTCCTTAAGAGCTTTTAACTCAAGTAAAGAAAACAGACCCTTGAAGCACTGGATTGATCACACAAGCAGAGTGGATCATGCGATGGCAGCAAAAAGTGGGTCAGTTCCACTGTTTTATTTTTAGAGAGACAGGGTTGGGGGGGGCGCGCGCCAAGTGTGTGAAGTTTCATTCAGTTAAAGACGTAGGCTCACGTCATCAGAGATTGTATGAAATGATATAAATCAATTGAAGTCGTCAGCACTCTTTTGCGTGGGTTTTATATAGGTACTATCTTAGCCCTCCTCGGCCAAGGAGGCCATCAGAACAGAGGCTGCCTTTCATACTGTGCATCTATTGCATCCTTCTGCTCTAGCAAGTAGCTGGAAACTTAATTCAAATTTTATAGGTAAATATAAATTATACAATAAATCACCAAAAATCACCATATGTTATTGTTCTAGTAAGAAAAAGGTTATTAATCTGTTACAGAACACTGGCAACTCTAAAGTCTTGTGATGTCTTTATCCAATTCCTGTAATTTCAGTGAGAATACCAGTTCTCTTTACCTGGGGTTTTGCTGGACTTCATTTTATCATATGTTCTCCAATTTTCAGATATTTTTAAGTTTTCATTTCCTTGGCAAGGAACTCTGTGCCTAACAAGTTTACCAGCATCCATGTCATCTATCTGTAAAATTCTGAGCAGGGATGTGAGAGATCTGTGCTGTGAGGAGAAGAAAATAAAACTCCAAATCTTGCATAGTGTAAATGACTTCATCTCATCTTCTCTATCTCCTCTTTCTCTGAAACATCAGATATAAGTTGCAAGCCCATGCTGTGGTAATACTGACCTAAAATTGCTGTGGTTGCTTGCAGTAAGTATTGACTGCACTGCTCACCTGGTAGTTTTGTGAAGAACAAACAAGAAGATGCAGAACGGCAGTGTCTTATTATGCTTTTCCTGCTGTGTGCATCTGCTTATATGCTCACTGTATCATACGGTAGGTGTTACCCAGTCTGTTCCTATGAGGTACATTCATAACAGAGTGCATTCACAGCAGCTGAATGGTTCTGGACACCACTTTCCTCAGAATAATGACTGCATCAGAAGGACCAGCTGTCCTGGAAGCCCTTACTTCTATTATTCAAGTTCTTTTGTGCATTTTTGGTGGCACAATGTACAAGGACATGCACAGCTGCTTCTGGTTACTTGTGAAAATCTTAGACTGAGTTTCCACTTCCTTATACTCAGCAACTGGTTTTGACATAAATCAAACAGATGTATGGGGAGTTAAAGAGGGAGATAACACCTATGCTTGATGTACATGTTTAAAAAGACATGTCCCTTTGCTTTTGGGTGGGAGGAGGTAACTTCCGTGCAGAAGGCAGCGGCACTGAGTGTTAGCCCACGCTATCCATCTTCTGTACGACAGTCCGGTCAGGCACTGACAGGTGCCTTCTCCCAGGTGCAGGCCACAGTCTGTATTTGTCACTTCACTCAGGATGGCTTTCCAAACAGTGCGATCTCTAAGCCAGATGCAGACCAAAGGACACGATCAGATGGTCTTCTGTTCAAATGCTAAGCAGCAAACATGCCCTCTCTGGAAAAAGTCTATCTCCCGTTACTGATCCCATTAAGATGTTCTTTCTCTCTTGGAAACAGTCAATTTCAAGCAGAGTTTGAAATATTCCCAAAGATAAGTATTGCCTTAGGTGGATTGTTGTCTTTCTTCCCTCCCTTTCTCCCTTCCTCCCTTCCTCCCTCTCTTCCTCCCTTCCTCCCTCTCTTCCTCCCTTTCTCCCTTTCTCCCTTTCTCCCTTTCTCCCTTTCTCCCTTTCTCCCTCCCTCCCTCCCTCCCTCCCTTCCTTCCTCTCTCCCTCCCTCCCTCCCTCCCTCCCTCCCTCCATTCCTTTCTTACAAAGGCCAAAAACAAAAGCCACTTAGGATGTCTTATGATTGAAAATTTCTATACTTGTTCCTCAAAACCTTGTGGGAAAAGGCAATTTTTTTTCCCTAGTGAGGGGATAGGAGTATAACTTTTCTGATTCCTTTATTTTCTTTTAGTTGAGTTGCCCACAGGAGGCAATATGAAGATAAATCTTTCTTGAGAAGCTGAAATTGAAAGCAGAAGGGATATAACACATGTTATATAGGTCAATCTGAAAGTAATGTCTCCTATTTATTTACAAGAAAACTACAAGAGATACAAAGAGCACAATAGCACTATTTCAAAGAGCAAATTCTGAGTTACAAAATACTCTTTTTCAACGTAGTCCCCACCAATATCTGTGCCTTTTGCCAGCGATGAGCAAAGCCTGCATGCTGCTCTTGTAACACCAGTGAAGGCTGGTTGCTAGGAAAATGTTGCCATCACAGTTCATCTTTCATCAGCCTGAACAAATGGAAATCAGAAGGTGCCTATCTGTATGGTGGGTATGGCAATGTGCTCCACCATCTTCAAAGAGGTATGGGGCCTGGTGTTATCATGCTGCAAGAGAAAGGTTGTCTCCTTCTCTTGTCTAACTCTGGATGTTTGAGCCTTCAGCCTAGGCAGTGTCATGAAGTAGCAGTTAGATCTGATGGTTTGTCTGGCTTCCAGGAAATCCAGAAGGATCACCCCTTTCCTATCCCAAAAGACAGTGCACATCACTGTACCTGCTAAAGGCTGTGTGTTGTGTCTTGTTTTCTTTGATGAGGAATTCACGTGTCATCATTTGATGAATGGCCATTCTGACTCCAGCTCACAGTGGTGACACCACATCTCATCACTGGTAATGATGTGATCCAGGAAATGGTCACCTTCAGCCTCATATTGGTTCAATAGGTTCTGACAAACTGGCGTACAGTGTTCTTTCTGTTCCCATGAGAGTATTTGTGGGACCCAATTGGTGCAAACTTGATGTTATTCTGACGTTGCAACCATTGTTTCCAATGCACAGGAGCCAGTACTCATCTCTGTTCATAATCTTCCTATTTGCATGGATGAGCTGATCAAGACGCTCTTCATTTCATGGTGTGACTGCTGTATGCAGCCATCTGGAACATGGCTTATCTTTCACATCACTGTCACTACTGCTGAAACATGCCACACGCCACCTCAGTGTGTGACATCTGCTGTTTGGTCTCCATAAAAGTTCACCAAGTGTCAATGAATGCCAATGAGTGTGATTTTTTCTGCACAGAGGAATTCAGTGACCCACCTTTGCTTCGTACACACTTCTGTGTCGGCCGTTATGGTGTCAGGGTGCCCCTCTACTGCCATCTCTCCCATGGTAACAATATGTAATGGGATATTGGTGGGAAGGATCCACCTCTACTGCTGTACCACCAACACCATTCTCTGATGTCATGGGCCAATATCATAAAATAGTAGGAGAGCAGCCCTTGTGGATGGATGAACACACTTTGGAGAAAGACACACTTTGAAAGACACACTTTGCACTAAAGAACTGTCAGAGCGTAGGTGCCAAATAGATAAATGTGCCATGAGCTTGGTATTTTCTAAGTGTCTGAGGATGGATGGCCCTGCCACATCAGTCTGTCAGTTTCTCAGGCTTCAGCGGCACTAATCAGAGATCCATCAGGGAGAAAAATCGCAGTGAAGAACCTTCCTTTGACTAGGATTATGTGGCACTGCAGCATTTTATTTAGGCATTTCTGTAGGAAAACACAGTGGGCAAGTGCTGCTGAGGAACTGAACCCAGATCCAGGTCAGACCCAGCCTGAGAAAATGAGGCATCTTTTACAGTCATCTGAAACACACAGGTGTTGAGTAACGCCTGGAGGCAGGTTTTAAAGCAGCTCCATCGCGGCACTGCCAGTGACGCTAACGGGATGAAGTCCATACAGGCGATATCGGCTGAATTAACACCCGGGCCGCAGAACCGCGCGGCACAGCAGCACCTCCCGAGAGTCAGACACGTGCCCCAGCCGCGGATCCGCCGCTGCGCGCTTGTCCCTCGCCCGCCCACCGTGGGCGGGGCTGCTACGCGCGCGGCTCCGGCGCCGCCACTGCGGCCTCAGCGCGGCGCGGGGAGAGGCGGCCGCCGAGCGAGGTGACCGCCGGTGGGCCCTGAGGGGGCGGCCGCGCCACGCCGCGCCGCGGGGAGGGCTCCGGGCAGCCGGCGGAGGAGCGCTGCCTGCGGGGGCATCGCCGGGCGGGGCGCGCATGCGTCGCGTGGGCTGGTCGGGGGTGGGGGAGGGCGAGGGTCTGCCGCGAGGAGCGGCGGGTCCGCGGGCGTGCGGGCGGCCGGGCGCGGGGCTGGGCGCGGCGGCGGTGGGTGCAGCCGCGCGGGGACGAAGCGGGCCCCGGTGAGGTGGCGGGTCTGGGGGAAAGGAGGAGCGAGCTTGCGGTGAGGAGCGCCTCGCTTCTGCTGCGGGCCGTCAGGCGGCGGACGGTTCGGTTCGGATTGCTGCGGGTCGGCTCTCCTAGGGGAGCGTCTGCGGGGTGGGGAAAACCGTCGGTCTGGCAGCCGCAGAACGCCCGCCTGCACCGAGGCCTGCGCGTGGCTCACACGGGTTTGTTTGTTAAACTTGTGCTGCAGAGGGTACTAAAAATAATTCCGCTTCGGGGCTGCCCAAAACCTAGTGTTAACTGAAGCTGAAATGTGGAATTGTGTGCGGCAGCGTATGCGGGACTCCGGTGAGAGGTTTGTGTCTGATCCGGGAACGTCATTCGTGCGGCTTCAAAGGCACGCCTTAGGGATGTCGGTTTCACATCTTCGATGTGGTTTCATTTGAATTCGTTGCTGTTTTTAGGCGTGCAGAGCTGGAATGTCCTCCGCAGGAGCATCTCCAAAAGAGGCTGGTTTAGAACTGGGGAAGCAGTGTTGCTGCTGGGTCTGACTGCTGGTGATGCGGTTCAAGGTTGTGTGTGGTGATAAAGGGTGACGCGCGCCCTGACCTAAGTGTACGTGGCTCTGCAGGCACTCTTTCTCCCGTTTTCAGTTTGAGGGACTAAACGCTGTATGTGCACTTAAAATATTTGTAGACCGTTGGACAAAAGGAAAGATTAGATCACATGAAAGCAGCCATCATCTAAACAGATAACTGCGGAAGTTCTAGCAGGAGGAAGTAATTAATTTGTTTGAGGCGTTACCGTCTGAAAGTGTAATCCGGTATTCAATTAACACAGTGCAAGGGTCTAATGAAAATACAAATGTAACGGCTCACTGTAGAAAAAATACTATTAACTTATGGCTGGATTTATAGAATTCAGCTTAATTTGTCGTAAGAATAAGTCGCTGAAGTTCCAGGTTGTATCTGTTCTGCTGAAGGTGGCTGGCATTGTTGTTTTGCAAGGGTGAATGAGAAATGCCATTTCTGATGAGCTCAGTCATGGCAGCTGTCATTGCTTTTTGCCGCCTTTCTTTCGTTCTCAAAGGTAAATTGTGACTGATGGAGTTATATTAGGGAAAAAAAAGTCACCGTGTCGATTATAGTTTCACAGAGCCTTAATGCATAGCAAGTGGAAACTAGAAATATCTTTTACCACTGACAACTTGAGACGGATTTCTGATAGTCCTAACATGACTGCAAAATATTTTTTGTTGTGGCTGTTATATGTGACAAAATGTAATATGCATGAAAAATAGGGAGAACTTGGAAAAACTGATGAATTTTTTAATTGTCACGAGGGTGGGATGCTAAAATAGCCTAACTGACTTTGTCTTAAAAATTTACTGAAAAATGAGATATTTTTTTTCCCCATTTATAAGGTGGACGTGGAGGAATATCTGTGCAATAGTGTCAGTAATAGAGAATCAACTAAAGGAAGATTATATTGATGTCAGAATGTGACAAAGCTAAAAACCAATTTCTTTTTGCATTATTTGTGTATAGTGCACAGCATGTAACCCCTGGCTGTCATCTGACCTTGAGTCTTCTGTGAAAGTACAAAATTTGATCCTTCCATCATGGCTAAGACCTTGCGGAAGTAATTCTCTCTTTTCCCCACAGCAAACTTCCATTGCCCTGTAAATACCAAAAATTAAAGGAGCATGAAATCAGTCAGTGTTATTGTTGTGCTTACACAGCAGCTGCTTGGGAAGAGCTTCCCTAGCTATCTAAATGAGTACAGAGATTGATACTGCTATTATCTGTGTCAGAGAGGAGCATCCTTCTGCATTAAGCTGGGAAAAGTCACCTCTAGTTTACTTGCCACTAAAATGCAGTAAAAATCTGACATAGCATTAAATTTCTTACCCCAAGCATAATACTTATTTAAAATCCAGTTATTCTCAGAAAGAGAACTACAAAAACATACCTGGTCTGATGTTCTCCTACCAAAATGGTGATTTCTGTTGAGGGGAGAAAGGGAGGCAGAGGTGTAAATTGGGTTCCTCTATATTTTTTAAATGAATTTTTCTTTCTCTCTGAAGCTTTTTTTTTTTTCTTTCTTTTTTTTTTTTTTTTCCCATTTTCTGAAATAACCGAAAAGAGCAAGGTAAAATGGTAAACATAGGGTAGGTAAATATTAAACAGGATTACAAAGTTTAATCAGCTACTTAACAGGTTAGAAGAGTCCATTAGAGTAAATGTCTTGCTATGTTATCTGCTGATGTTTGCTTTTTGTTTTGTTTTTGTTGTTGTTGTTTTGTTTGTTTAATTAAAAAAAAGTATTCAATTCCTGGGGCATCTTAATTGTTAAGATGTTAAGAATCCTTTTTTAAAAATAAACAACAGCAACAGCAATCAAAAATAGACTCCAGATCAACTACTGATTATTGTCATTATTGCCTCCAAAAATTGTTGTTTTACTGTAACTTAACCCAATGTTGTATTATTTAATATCTTGATGTACTTTGCCCCGCAACATAGTATGAAAGGGATTAGGAGTCAATATTTAACTCACTGTATTTCACCAAAGTGTGTTTGACAGATACATAAACTGATTTGAGCAAAAACTTTCCTTTTGTTCACAGAGCCTGTCAGTGAATGTATCTCTTAGCAGTTTGTTCCATTCTGTAGTTCTAAAACAGATTTTTTTTTTCTTTGATTTATTTTTGTGCCAATAATTTTGTTAGCTAGAAAGTTCCATTAGAATAGGGAAAAGTCATCCTACTGTTTAGAATTATAGAATTATTTATATTGGAAAAGACCTTCAAGATCGTAAAGTTCAGTCAGCAGCCTGACCTACAAAGTCTGGTTGCTAAACCAGCTCCTTTAGTTATGCCTCTAACGCCTCTTAAATTCCTCCAGTGATGAGGACTGCAGCACTTCTCTGAGCAGCCTGTATCGATGCTTGAGCACGCTCTCGAGGAGGAAATTCTTCCTAATGTCTATTTTAAAAATCCCCTCGCACAACATGTGGTTTTTTTTCCTTATGTTTATCGCCTGAGAGACCAACACCCTCTTCGCTGCAACCTCCTTTCAGGTCCTTCCAGAGAAAGATGAGGTCTTACTTCAGCCTCTTCCAGATGAAGCAGCCCAAGTCTCTCAGTCACTTCTCATAACTGTTCCAGTCTCCAGTTTCATTGCTGTTCTCTGAACACTTCTCTGTAACTTAATATCCTTCTTGCAGAGCAGAGGGGACAGCCGCTCCCCTCGCCTGGTGGCAGCACTGGGCCTGCTGCACCCCAAGGTGTGGTTGGCCCTTTGGGCTGCCAGTACACAATGCTGGCTCACATTCAACTTGTCATCAGTCAGAGCCTCCAGATCCCTTTCCATGGAGCTGCTCTTCAACCTCTTGTGTCCCAGTCTGCGTCTAACCAGGATTACCTTATCCACGTGCAGAATCTGGCACTTGCTCTTCTTAAACTTCTTGTGGCTGGTGCTTGCTCAGAACTCTAGTTTGTCAAGGTTTCCCAGCAAGACCTCCCTACCCTCAAGGGAATCAACAGTTCTTTCCAATTTAGTGTCATCAGTAAACTCACTTAGACTTCCTTTCAGTCCTGCAACCAAGTTATTTACAGAAACTTTAAAGAGAGCTGCACCTAAAAGAGAGCTCTGAGAAACCCCACTAGTGATTGGTTTCCAGATAGATTTAACTCACTGAGTATTGTTGAATGTCATACAGTTGGACTTGGCCCATTGATTTAGTCTAACCAGATTCCTCTGTAAATCCTTCCTACTCTTAAGTAGATCCGCGTACCTGCCTAACTTGATATCATCAGCAAACTTAGTGAGGGTGCACTTGATCCTTCTTCCTCTGGAAGTGGATATGTAATAAAAGTGTTAAATAAAACTAGCTCCATGACTGATCCCTGGAGAATATCACTGCTGATCAGCCACCAACTGGACTGACTTCTGTTTGCCTTTTGAGCCCATCCATCCAGTCATTTCACCTAGCTAACTGTACACCTGTCCAAGCCATGAGTAGCCAGTTTCACCAGGAGAATAGTGTGGGAGATGGTGTCAAACACTTTAGAATTATTAGAATTCAAATAGACAACATCCACAGCCTTTCATAAAGCTATGCTGGCTGCATTGATCTCTCAATTGTTCCACGTCTGCTGTTAGACAGTTTTCAAGAGGATCTGCTCCATAACCCTTCCCAGTACCAAGATGAGTACAGGCAGAGCTGTAGCTACCTTAATCCTCTTTCCTGCCTTCCTTTTAGACTGGAGTCACATTCACTGACTTCCAGTCATCTGGGACCTCCCAGTTAGCCAGGACTGTCAGCAAATTTTTGAGAATGGCTTGGTGAGTGCTTCCACCACCTCCTTCAGTACCCATGGATAAATTCCATCCAGCCCTTTGAATTTATGAATATTAAAAAGATGTAATAGGTTATCTGTTGTTTCCCACTGAACTATAGGTGCTTCATCTTGTTCCCTGTCACCATCTTTCAACTCAGAGGGGTTGTGTATCCTGGGAACAGTTGGCCTTCCTAAAAAAAACAGGCAAAAAGTCATAGAATCACTCAGATTGGAAAAGACCTTAAAGACCATTGAGTCCAACCACGACCTAACCATACTACTCTAACTCTAACAACCCTCTGCTAAATCATGTCCCTGAGCACCACATCCAAACAGTTTTTAAACACAGCCAGGGATGGTGACTCAACCACCTCCCTGGGGAGCCTATTGCAGTGCTTAAGTATGGTTAAGTATCTTAACCATAACTTAATCATTAAGTCATTAAGTATCTTAACATTGTCATCATCTTTCATCACTGCATTTTCCCTCATATCTGATAAAGGATGGAGGTTCTCCCTAATCCCCCTTTTGCAGTTGATGCATTTATAAAAGCATTTTGTATTGTCTTTGACTGTAATAGCTAAATTGATTTCCAGCTGAGCTTTGGCCATTCCAATTTTCTACCTGCACAAGTTGACCACAGCTTTGTAGTTTTTCTACACTGTTTGCTCCCTTTTTCAGTGTTCCAGAGTTTAAGAGTTACAATTGAACTCTGTAGTATTTAAATATTATTCGTATAGAATATGTGAATTACCTATAGAAGAAAATGTGTTAAAATAGTGAGTTCTAAATAAATGAAAAGAACAACCCTACTCTTTATTTTCTGAAATCTTTTAATGTGAAGTACTGTAAGATATCAGTTGTCTGCTAGCAGTGGGTAAGGCAGTATATGTCTATAGTTATGGGCCACAGTTACATATGCTATTCATAACGTGTGCCATTTATTTGCTATAACATTGTTACTAATGGTTTCTATTTATTAATTCATTTATTTTTTAGGAACTGTATTTCAAGAATCTTTCAAAACAGAAACAAAAAGAAGACATGGAGAAGAATGGAAACAACCACAAACTTCGTGTTTGTGTTGCTACCTGCAACCGTGCTGATTATTCAAAATTAGCTCCTATTATGTTTGGTATTAAGGCAGAACCACAGTTCTTTGAGCTTGATGTCGTAGTGCTTGGTTCCCACTTGATTGATGATTATGGGTAAGGTGGATTTTTGTATCTCTCCCATTCTCATTCTGTTTCTGATGTGTTGGCAGTACAGTCATGAATGCTAGGTCACAAAATGCTTGAAATCATGAAAGCACATAACAAAATTTTAAAAATCATTTTTCAGACATTATATTCTATCTCAATTTTCAGCTTCTACTAAGATTTTTTTTTTTTTTTTTTTTTTTTTTTTTTTTACAAATCAGTCTTGGAATTTTAGAAAGTTTTGTGTAAGTGCTGGAACTGAGGTTTTCAACACAGTTTCTAATAAAGTGAGCAATTCAGTTCATTCAGACTTACCTTAGAATCTGGTTATCGTCAAATGAAAATGTGTTACAATTTTGAATTTTCATGGCAAAAAGATAACTTGCAGTCATTCTAAGTTGAAGCTCTTGTAATTTACATACTTACTGGATAAAGTTTTTATATAACTGGTATTGCAGGTAAGTACTGTTAGTTCTCACCTCCAGGATTGCAGGGGAAGAAAGCAGTGTAGGATAATCTCTTTCTTACAAAATGAGTGACTAGAGGTAGAGGAAGGAGAGGTATTAGATATCATTTGGCAGGAGAGATTAGGGTCCCCTTCCTAATAATGTGTAAGTGAGCAGTCACATTACCTGCCTTGGTAGATGGAATGTCTTGTTTCTGATCCTTTCCTTTGTAAGAACTTCCTATATCCCAGATAAGCATTCTCCTATCTGCTGAGGGAAAGGAGGAAGGCAGAAGGAAGAATGTGTATACTTTTGCTGGGGTTCTTTATGTCTGATCTTGCTCCAGATGCCTTTATCAAACTGGGCTAAGAGAATTAAACTGTTAAGAAAACACTTTGCAAGTCAAAGTAAGGTTTTAGCATAACGGTCAGCATTCGAGCACTGTTAAACTATTAGAAATGTCATGCATATCTTCAAGTAAAAGCACTTTCTGGGTTTCCCAACCAGCGATTTTGGCACATGATAAGTTAAGGTGTGATTTTTTGTGAGGTCATGGGTAGTTTTGTTACATCAGACTGCAAAGAGAGCAAATGTAACTGCTGCCCATTCTCAGTACTGTGCTCTGTTTCTTGCTTTGCACTGGCCATTGTTTTCATCCAGTAATATGGTAATGTGAATTCAATACCTTAAAACTAACCTGATTCAAAAAACAAACAAAAAAAACCCCTGTTGTGAGGTTAGCATATGGTCAGGCTGGAAAAATAAGCCAGTCCTGCTTCGCTAGCTGAAGAGGGTTTTTTGTTGTTCCAGTCTGATTTAAATTAATTTATAAGTGTAACCTTTAGATAAGAGCAGTGAATGTAGATAGGTTGAAGACAAAATGGGAAAACTTTTTTTTTTTTTCTCTCTTAGGTTTAAGCAAGCAGCAGTCTTCAGCGTTGCATTTTTTTTTCTGTTGTATTTATACATTCATCCAGCAATGTCTGTTTATTGGTGAAGAACTGGCATATCTTTTCAGAAAAGAAAATGAGCCATATCAGTTTTCCAGTAGACCCCGCAAAGACATGAATAAAGAGTTTAGTTTCTGGGGGTTCTGGAACATGCTTAGCAAAACTTTTTATTAAAGGTGTACAGAAAACTTGATGGAATTGGAGTAGGAGGAATGATCTTTATATAGACTAAAGTGTTCCCAGATTACTTTCCTTAGTGAGGGAGACTTGATATGCAGGCTTTTGTTCAAACATAGTACAACTATTCTAGTGTTCTGGTGTGCAATTATGTTGTCAAGCTGTGTTGCTGTAAATCCAAGTTCTATTTCTTCTAACCCTTTCTCTCTTATCTTCAGTAACACTTATCGCATGATTGAACAAGATGACTTCGATATTCATACAAGATTGCACACTATTGTGAGAGGGGAGGATGAGGCAGCCATGGTGGAATCAGTAGGCCTCGCATTAGTGAAGTTACCAGATGTCCTGAACCGCCTGAAACCTGACATAATGATAGTTCATGGTGACAGATTTGATGCTTTGGCACTAGCCACATCTGCAGCCCTGATGAATATTCGCATTCTTCACATTGAAGGTGGGGAAGTCAGTGGGACCATTGACGACTCTATTAGACATGCTATCACCAAACTTGCCCATTACCACGTGTGCTGCACAAGGAGTGCAGAGCAGCATTTGATAGCCATGTGTGAAGACCACGATCGCATCCTTTTAGCAGGCTGTCCTTCATATGACAAGCTTCTCTCTGCCAAAAATAAGGACTACATGAGTGTTATACGTGTATGGCTAGGTGAGCATCCACTTCTTTATGGTTTTCAAATGACTTTAGACAAACTCACTGAGTTCTTAATCCATGGTCTGTGCTGCCTTGGGGATCTATTGCCCAGTGATTCTAGGAAATGTATGGGAAACAAAGAAGGACAGACTTATTGGTAGTGGGTTTTGTTTTAATTGGGGATTATTGTGAAAGTGTTTCTTCTAAAGAAAGAACAAACAAAGAGAAGGAATGTATTTGCTACCAGTATCTACCATAGCTTTATTTGCACCATTTGGCCTTATTCTGTATTTATTCTGTATGTAAGAAAAGCTGCAAATCAGTCTTACCAGAAAATTAGTCCTTTAACAAAGTAAAAAAAAAAAAAAAAAACCCACCACCAAGACCTTCTTAAATTGGTAATTTCTCTGATGCAAACAATTTAAAAATAGACTTTTTCCTATATGAACACTTTTTTTATGGTGTAAAGAATATGTCAAAAGAGAATCAGAGCTATTTAGAACTAATCTAAAAAGAATTGAGCAAATTTACATTCTGAACGTTCCTTTGCAGAATTTATTGTAATAGGGCCATATGTGCTTACCGCTTTTGATTCCCTGTATTCCAAGTATTTCCTGTAAATGTTGATTCTTTGTGCTTTCTAGTTAAATTTGACAAAGCAGTCTCCTATAATGCACAGTAGCCTGAGTACTTGGAAAATGGAATCTTATTAGATTAGTAGGTGACTGTGTAGTAGATCAGCTGTTTAATAAATACGCAAAAAACAAGTGTAGCTTTAGGAATAAAGTCTTTCTTTGCATGATGATGGAGAGGTGGCGGAAAACCCAAGTAATGAGTGATAATGACAATCACAAACCTACTCATCTCCTGTTGTGAAGCAGCTCTTCAGGAAGATTCATTTCTTGCTGCCGTCAGTGAAAGTTAAGAGGAGCTTCAAAGCTTTCATGTTATTACAGACTTACTACACAGGGAGATGTGAGAACAGCTCTCAGCTCTGGTTTAGACCTGCAAAGATTGAGATCTAGGCCTGAAAGTTAACAGTGTGTTGAGCTTTGGAGAGTAAAAGTTATGAGTCATGCCTAGAGAGGTAAATAATAAGCTGTCACATCACTCCCTCCTCTTACTGTTCTCTGCTACTGAAAAATAAAAAACACTTTTCTTCTTTTTTCCATTTGAACAGGTGAAGATGTTAAACCCAGAGATTATATAGTTGCTCTGCAACATCCTGTAACCACAGATATTAAACATTCCATAAAGATGTTTGAACTGACACTAGATGCGCTCATTTCCTTTAACAAGAGAACGCTTGTTCTATTCCCCAATGTAGACGCAGGTGAGTAAAATGCCTGCGTGACAGAAGGACGGATAACTAGTTGTGAAGCATACATTGGTTCATACAGAGTGCTTTTTCCCATAATCTCCAGCCAGATGGAAATAGCTGGATGATCTCAGCGTCAGACTTGCATCCACTGCAACTTGTCCTTGTCCAAATTGCTGAAGGACGTCACAGCTTTTCAGTGTGGAAGGAAGATGAAGGGAAACTGTATTACATATGGAAGCAACATGCAATGGCTCCTGCACTAACTGAAAAATTATGTTAGATTTGTTGAAATGATTTTGGGGATTAAACTTAAGTTTATGTGCCTGAAAGGGAACAAAAACAGCCCAGAGGTGACAATTCAGTAGGCTGCTATTCACTTCTTTGTGTGTTGAGACTCTCATTGAACTTTTTTCCTTTATTCATGTCTTTTGCTTTTGTGTAGGAAGCAAAGAGATGGTTCGGGTGATGAGGAAAAAGGGCATTGAACATCATCCCAATTTTCGGGCAGTGAAGCATGTCCCATTTGACCAGTTCATTCAGCTAGTTGCCCATGCTGGTTGTATGATTGGTAACAGCAGTTGTGGTGTCAGAGAAGTGGGAGCATTTGGCACACCTGTTATCAACTTGGGGACACGCCAGACAGGAAGAGAAACAGGTAAGTGTTTGCATAACTACTTTAATTTTTTTGTAGTTCTGAAGGTTTTTTGTTTCACTTAATGAAGTAAAACAAAGGCTTTACAGAGACCATCCTGCAGTGTCAGTACAACTTAATTTTTGACCTCTTAAAGCTTTGCTGGCTATTCCCATATTTCTGTATCATGTTAGTGATGAGATAATGAGGCATTTATCTGTAGACAAGTTAAATATAGATCTCCATTTGCAGTGCATCCCATTTAGCAGAGAGAGGACTAATTGTTATCCTTTATAGCTACTTCCATGTTCACTTGTATGCATTTTTCACTTTAAAAACAGGAACCCATCATCTGTACCCAAATCTGTATTGTGGTATTTCAGTCATGCAGATTGACCACTTGTCTATGGTTTTCACTGTACTTACAGAATTCTGTTGAAAACTAGTACTCTACCCTTCATGTTCTGTAAGAGTAACGTTGATTTGGCTGGAGTCTCTTGCTCAGAAGAACTAAAAATGATTACTTCCTTATTCATTTGTAAAGCAGTTCTTATCCTCTAACATCATTTAAGTAGGTGACTCATCCTATTTTGTTATTTTCATCTAGGTGAAAATGTTCTTCATGTTCGTGATGCTGACACACAGGATAAAATTCTGCATGCGCTACAGCTCCAGTTTGGTAAGCAGTATCCATGGTAAGTATGTTTCACACGGGGGGGGTGTAGAAGTAGTTGAGGAAAGTATTTAGATATGGCTTGTCGTATTTGATCACAGACTTTTTAGTGTGCTAATCTGAGGTTACTAATGATGTTTTGATACAATTGGTAGTTTAACATCTAACAGAAAGCAAAGAGGAGAAAATTCATGTATTAGTTTAGACTAGAATTATGAAGACAGCTCATTCCATAGTGGAACACAGAGTATGGGGAGAACATCCTGCCTGTCTACATTTGACATCTGCTTGAAAGACACAGTACTTTGTAGCAGGATTGGCTTCAGGCATAATAAATGCAGGGCCATGAGTACAAACTCTCAGAGAGGCTGCTGGATGTATTCACTGCTCTTCATACGTACAGTACTGAGCCTCAGTTCTAAAACATCTGAGCTCTTAAAAACTTCAGGATGTTGCATATGTTTCATTAAGGACAAGACTCAAGAGTGTATTGGTTGAAGATCTCAGTATAATAATAAAATTAAACACTGGAGAACTAAATGTCTGACATTATTATGTACAGAGATATTTAAAAATGAGACTTATCTGTAGCAAACTGATGTAAATGGGAGTCTTGAGAGGTCTTCCCAGGAGCCAAGATCTGGGACATCGCTGAGAGGGTACCACAGATTGTCGAGAGCACAGACTACTATCCCCTGTTGCTCTTTCACATGGGCATGAAGGATGCAGTAAAGCAGAACATGGGCAGAATCCAAGAAGACTATAAAACCCCATTGCAATCAACTGGGGAATGAACCAGGCCAACCAGAATAGTGGCAGATGTTTTTTAGCTGTGTTGCATGACAAGAGCCACAATGCCAGCTGCCTCACGGGTGTGTATAGCTACAGGGGATCCTCTTGCTTCCCTCTAGGGATACTTGCACCCTCTGCTCCCTTTTCTTCTCTGAAGTGCCTGTATACCAATGCAGCATGGGGAATAAACAGGAGGAAACAGAGATTTATGTGCAGTCACAGGGCCGTGATTTCACTGCTGTCACAGAGACATGGTGGGACAGCACATGTGACTGGGAATGCTGTCATGGATGAATATGTCCTTTTTAGAAAAGACAGGCCAGAAAGGTGAAATGGTGGAATTGCTCTTTATATGAAAGAAAAACTGGAATGCATTGAGCTCCATGTAGGGATGACTGATGAATGAGTGGAGAGCTTGTGGGTGAGAACAAAGTCATAGACTAATACGGGTGACACCGTTGTTGATGTTTACTACAGGCTGCCTGATCAGGAGGAGGAAATTGATGGGGCCTTCTATAGACAGCTGAAAGTAGTCTCACAGTCCCAGGTGCTGATTCTTCAAGCACCCTGATAATTGCAGGAAAATCATCACTGCCAGGAATACACAGTCCAGGAGGTTTCTGCAATGAGATGAAGATAACTTTTTGTGGCAGATCATGGAGGAGCCAATGAGGAGAGGTGTGCTGCTGGACCTTGTTCTCACAAAGAGGGAAGGGTTTGGTTATATGATGGTTGGGAGCAGCCTGAGATGCAGTGATTGTGAAATACTGAAGTTCAAAACCTTACGTGGAAGAAGAAAGGTACTAAATAGGATTAAAGGATTACCACTCTGAACTTCAGGAGAGCCAGCTTTGACCACTTCAAGAACCTACTTGGAGGTATCCCAGTAATTAGAGCATTGGGAGGCAAGGAGGTTGGAGAGAGTTGGTTAACATTCAAGCAGCACTTCTTCCAAGTTCAAGTTCAGTGCATCTGTAAGAGAAAGAAATTCTGCAAAGGTGGCAGAGGACCTACGTGAATGAACAGAAAGCTCATGGAAGAACTCAAATGGAAGAAGAAGGTCAGTGCAATGTGGAAAAGAGGTCTCTCTATGAGGGAGGAATATATGAACGTAGGCAGGGAACACAGGGATACAACAAGGAAGGCTAAGGCTCACCTGAAATTAAATCTGGCAAAGGAGGTTAAGGACTACAAGAAGGACTTCTTTTAAGTATTTGAATAGCAAAGGGAAGACCAGGGAAAATGTGGGTTGCTGTTGACAGAAGTGAGTGCCCTGGTAACAGGGACACTGAGAAGGTGAAGTTACTGAATGCCTCTCTTGCTTTAGTCTTTACTTCTAAGACTGCCCCTCAGGAATCCCAGACACTGGAGATAAGAGAAGGTCTGGGGAATGGAAGACTTCACTTTGGTCAATGAGGATCTGGTCAGAGACTGTCTTTGCGAACTCGATACACACAAATCCACAAGTCCTGATGGGATGCACTAATAGGTGCTGAGGGAGCTGGCAGAAGTGATTGCTACACTACCCTCTGTCATCCTTGAAAGGTCATGGGGAATGGGAAAGGTGCCTGAGGACCGGAAGAAAGCCAATGTCACTCACGTCTTCAGAAGGGCAAGAAGGAGGACCTGTAAAACTACAGGCCCGTCAGCCTCACGTATGTCCCTGGGAAGGTGGTAGAGCAGTTTATTCTGGATGGCATCTCCAAGCAAGTGGAAGAAAGGGAGGTTATCAAGCATAGTCAGCATGGATTCACTAAGGGCAAATCATGCTTGATCAATCTGGTATAGCCTTCTATGCTGTCATGACCATCTAAGTAGATGAGGGGAAGGCAGTGGATGTTGTGTACCTTGACTTCAGCAGGGCTTTAGACTCTTTCTCCTACAACATCCTTGTAATGAGGTCAAGTCAAATGTGGGATAGATGAGTGGAGGTCAATGAGGTGTATTGAGAACTCGCTGACAGAAAGAGCTCAGATAGCTCCAATCAGTGGCAGAATCCAGTTGGAGGCCTGTAACTAATGATGTTCCCCACGGGTGGTTACTGGGCCCAATCTTACTGAACATCATCAGTGACCTGGATGAAGGGATGGAGTTCACCCTCAGCAAGTTTGCTGGTGATACAAAGCTGAGAGGAGTGGCTGACACACCACTGGATGATTGTGCTACCATTCAACAAGACCTGGAAAGACTGGTAAGCTGAGCAGAGAGGAATCTGATAAGATTCAACAAGAGCAAGTGTAGAGTATTGCACATGGGGCGAAGTAATTGCATGCATCAGTGCAGGTTAGGAGCTGACCTGCTGGAAAGTAGCTGTAAGAAGGACTTAGTGGCTCTGGTGGACAGCAAGTACGGTGAACAGTACGCTCATGTGGCCAAGAAGAATAGTGTATCCCAGGGTGTGTTGCAGAGAGCATGGCCAGCAGGTTGAGGAAGGTGATCCTTCTCCACTCTGCCATGGTCAGGCTACATCTGGAGTATTGTCCAGTTCTGGGCTCCTCAGTTAAAAAAAAAAAAAAACAAAACAAACCAACAACAAAAACAAACTTTTGAAGAGAGTCCAGCAGAGGACCACAAAGATGACTAGGGGCCTGGAGCATCCATGTAGTCTTCCTAGTCTTCAGCAAAGCCTTTGACAAGGTCCCTCACAGGCTTCTTCTGGGGAAACTGGCTGCCCGTGGTCTGAACAGATATACACTTCTTTGGGTAAGGAACTGGCTAGAGGGCCGTGCCCAGCGGGTCGTGGTGAATGGAGTGAAGTCCAGCTGGCGACCCGTTTCAAGTGGTGTCCCCCAGCGGTCGGTACTGGGGCCCATCCTGTTTAATATCTTTATTGATGACCTGGATGAGGGGATTGAATGCACCCTCAGTAAGTTTGCAGATGACACCAAGCTGGGAGGTGGTGTCGATCTGCCTGAGGGTAGGGCGGCCCTTCAGAGGGATTTAGACAGGCTGGACTGCTGGGCTGAGGTGAATGGGATGAGGTTCAACAAGGCCAAGTGCCAGGTCCTGCACTTTGGGCACAACAACCCCATGCAGTGTTACAGGCTTGGGGATGAGTGGCTGGATGAGTGTGGAGAAGGACTTGGGGGTGTTGGTTGATGCTCGGCTGAACATGAGCCGACAGTGTGCTCAGGTGGTCAAGAGGGCCAACGGCATCCTGGCCTGCATTAGAAATAGTGTGGCCAGCAGGAGCAGGGAGGTGATCATCCCCCTGTACTCAGCACTGGTGAGGACACATCTTGAGTACTGTGTTCAGTTTTGGGCTCCTCACTACAGGAAAGACATTGAGGCCCTGGAGCGTGTCCAGAGAAGGGCAACAAAACTGGCGAGGGGTCTGGAGCACAAACCTTATGAGGAGCATCTGAGGGAGCTGGGATTGTTCAGTCTGTAGAAGAGGAGGCTCAGGGGAGACCTCAATGCACTGTACAACCTCCTGAAGGGAGGTTGTGGTGAAGAGGGTTTTGGCCTGTTCTCCCAGGCAACGAGCTAGACACGGGGCAATGGCCGCAAGTTGTATCAGAGGAGGTTTAGGTTGGACATAAGGAAGAACTGTTTCTCTCAGGGGATGGTCAGGCACTGGAATGGCTGCGCAGAGAGGTGGTGGAGTTGCCGTCCCTGGCAGTGTTCAAGAGGCGTCTGGATGACGTGCTGTGTGATATGGTTTAGTGCTTGTGGTGGCAATGGTGATGAGGAGACGGTTGGACTGGATGATTTTATAGGTCGTTTCCAGCCTTATGATTCTATGATCTCCCGCTTAAGGAAAGGCTGAGAGATCTTGGACTCTTCAAGCTGAAGAAAAGAAGATTGAGAGGGGATCTCATCACTGTTTATAAATATCTGAAATGTGGGAGTCAAATGGATGGGGACAGACTCTTTTTGGTAGTGTCCAATGACAGGACAAGAGACAGTGGACAAAAAGTGCAACACAGAAGTTCTATTCAAAGACAAGGAAGAACTTAGTTACTATGGGGGTGACAGAGCACTGGAACAGTTTGCCCAAAGAGGTTGTGGAATCTTCTTCTCCAGAGATATTCGAAACCCATCTGGATACTTTCTTATGGTACCTACTGTAGGGAACCTGTTTTACCAGGGGGTTGGACTAGATAATCCTCTGAAGTCTCTTCCAACCCATATGATTCTGTGATTCTGTGAACATACCATTACTATTACTACCATTTATTACTATTACTACTTGTCATATTTGTGATATCTTGTCTGAGTGTGTAGCATGTTCAGAAACTCAGTATCTGTAATTTTAGATTATTATTCTGTGGGGCTTTAATTGAACTCTTATTTGCTCTTTTTTTTTTTTTTTTTGTTAAAAACTTTCCAGTTTTTTCCATCTCATGTTCCATATTCCTAAACGAAGCTAATGTCAGGCTTGCACAATCTGTTGTTGTGTGTGATCTTCAAGCTACTGTACTCTATCTACCACATACCACAATGTACTTGAGTAGTCGAAAGTGTAATGTTATCATAATAGTGATACTATAATTTTGTAACGATACAGTATCACAGCCTTCTGTCATTTAAAAAGATTTGGAGATTGCAGTGTTACTTCCATTTAAATTGTTTTTTTTTGTTTTCATATTATAGCTCAAAAATATATGGTGATGGTAATGCTGTTCCAAGGATTTTGAAGTTCCTTAAATCTATTGACCTCAAAGAGCCATTGCAAAAGAAATTCTGTTTTCCTCCTGTCAAAGATAATATTTCTCAAGATATAGACCACATTCTAGAGACACAGAGTGCTTTGGCTGTGGACTTAGGTGGAACAAATCTCCGAGTAGCAATTGTCAGTATGAAGGTAAATACTATCCTTCTAGCTATTCTGCAAACTTTTGGGGACTTTGTGGTTCTTTTCCTAGAATGGAGATATGCTTAGGATGCAGAAGACTTGAGGAAAGAAGCAGTATGGTCCTAGTTGCATACCTTCCGCACAAAGTCGTATGATCTTAGAAGTACAGGGCAAGTTTCTGATTTGTTGGCCTGAGTTCACCATGCAGCTTTTCATTTGTCAGCAAAGAGGGAAGGGTTCCATACCCTGTCTCGTTACTTTCCTGTTGACTTACACAGCTATGTAACAGATGCACAGAACCACTTTTAGTAACAGCCAGTATTTATAAAAGCAGTGTACTCAGAGGAGATGGTGGGTGGTCACAGGACACAGAGTTTTGCATCTCTTCTACCTGGAGAGGAAAAGGTAGTAAGTAATCAAAAAATCTTAGTATCTTCCTACACAGCATCATGATAAGTAGCGGCACCAAACCGTACATGGAAAAGCATTCTGTGTAAGACATAACACCACAGAGATGTAAACCACTTATAGAGAGGCAGGCAAAAAATAAAATACTAATTACGGGCCTGGAAAACAGGGAAAAGTTGAATACACTAGAGTTGTTTAATACAGAGAAGAGAAAAGTGCTGTAGAAAAAAGCCTTCAGATATGTAGAAGCCTTTTCTGTAAGGAGAAAAAATTAGTCCAATATGTGTATGAAGAAATAGCAACAGATTAAAACTACAGAGTGGAAAATTACTCTAAAGGATTTTTTACTATCCAACTTAGCTGTAAATTCAAAAGTTAGAACAGGTTGTTTGGGACAGTATGATGTCTTCGTCACAGAAATAGTAGGAACTACTTTTGAAATAGGCTTGAAATTACAGCTTGAAATTAGAGTGTGCAGGGAGAGTTAATGGTACCCATGCTTAAAACTTCACCTACCCATTTGTCTGCTAACATGGCACAGTAAGAACCTTTTCTTTGCCTGTGCCATAGAACGGATAAGGATGCATTGTGTGCATAGTTTTGCTTCCTACAGACAGCATATCATAGGTGCTTGCCAACTAACTCAACAAGGTGAAGATATGTAGTTGGTGAAAGGTAATGAAAACTGAAGTCCTGAAAAAAAGAGAGGCTACCAAAATGGCATCAGTATCAGTCTGGTGTCAGATCACTTGTGAAGGTGTCCTGTAGTGAAACAAGTAAACACACCCATGATCATCAGCTGATTTCCCAGAATCAGAATTTCAGAATTAGAGAATATCTACTTGAACTTGGAAGCTTCAAGGTAGGGGCAGTATTGATGTAACTATTATTTAGCTATGGTGTTAAAATTCTTGCAATTATTATCAAGGTGATAATGAGAAGACAGTTAAGAATTTAAACTCATTTAAACATCAGTTTTTCTGCTTTAGAAAACAAAGTAATAATGAAAAATAAAAATTCTGAATTCTGCAGCACTTTAAGGATTTGATTAAAGTTTGTGATGAAGTTTTTGGCTTTTATTCTCCGTAGTGTTGGAGAACTACTCCTTCTGTTGCACTGTGTACTTTCAGATATCTAAATCAGTTAGACATAGTTAGAAAGGAGGACAAAACATTGTCCCTGAAGAAATGGGAAGAACTGTTTAAATAGACCTGTTATTGTTCAGAATGTTTGTATTCACTTGAAAGTATGTGTGTGGCAGCTGAGGTCTGGAAGAAAACATTTTCAATTATAATTTTTTTTAGCAGTCAAACTAATGCCACGATTTCTGCCAACACAAAGATGAAGGTAACTAAATTGGAAAAAATGTTGTCTGTTCTGCAGTGTGTAGTTTGAGGTGGCATTTATGAAAGTTAAAATGTTAGCACATCAGAGCAAAAGATCAACGCTTCATAATAAAATTTACACCACAGTTTTAAGGATTTAACAGCAAGTGGCAGAGATGAAGGTGAGGTTTCCAGGAAGAAAATAGTAGTTTTCAAGAACTCAGGAAGTGCTCCTTTTGAAAGATGCTGTCTTTGGAGGTTTGCTGTGGCCTTGTCTTACAAATGCCTTCCTCTGTTTTGCCTTCCCCTCCAAACCAGAAGAGGAAACTAAACATAACATTTAAAATAACAACAGAAAGCACCATTGCTGATGCTGATGGAGTGAAATGTAATGCTCAAAAATATCAAAGTTCTGGCATTTTCTTAGTTACTCTGGCAAGAACATGTGAGATGTGTGGCATATAGACTGACTGACTTTGTTATTCCTTTTTCCTTAGATGTGCAAATACACTGCTGTTCACTTATGCATATTTTTGTAGAGTACTCACTATATAATACAAAGAACAGCTTTGCTAAAGAAAATAGCATCTTCTGCATATTCATAGCCTTGTCCTGCAATATAATCATTACATTAAGGTTAGTTCTTTTGTACCACAGATTCAGATGTGCGTAATTAATTTTTTTACTACCAATACATGACTCACAGGCTTTAAAAATAATCCCTTCCTCCTGCATCCTCCCTCCCACATACATCAGATGTCACAGTAGATGTACTCCAGAAATATTTCCAGTGACTCAGAGTCATAACCACTTAGAAGAAAGGTTATTTCTGAAAGGATAGTAAGTTGTACGTTAAAATTTGAAGCACTTCTCTCTGGCTGGTATAGCAACAAGATGCTAGCTACTGCTAGCAACACCATTCAAATTTCCATGCAGTCAGATTAGAAGCATCTCATTCTTAAGTGCAGTGTTTTTTGTGTTTTTTGTTTTTTTTTTTTTTTTTAGCAATTATTATTAATTTTCTTAATACTTAAGAATTGAGCTTAAGAAAAGAGTACTGCTGTGTCACAGTTTATTCCTAACAACAGTTCCAGCACATTTCCTTATCCAATTCACATGTTCCATCTGTATTTTATTTCAGCTAGGGGAAATTGAAGCAGAATGTAAGGCCTAAGATACAGAATTTAAAGCCTTCCTCTTGCAAGTTTGTCCCCCAGAGTCCTCAGGAATCAGAGGACAATCTGTTCTGTAGCACCAAAGTCTAAGATGTATTAAATATATATACATATATATATATATATTCACTTTTTAAGTTGACCTGTATTGAAATTAAAGAGAAATTTCATTAGAAAGTAAATTTCTGTGGAGAACATTTATGGTTTTTATTTTCTAGGGTGAAATAGTTAAGAAGTATACCCAGCTCAACCCTAAAACTTATGAAGACAGACTAGATCTAATTCTAAAGATGTGTGTAGAAGCTGCATCGGAGGCAGTAAATCTGAACTGCAGAATTTTGGGAGTAGGTAAGTTAGTGAATACTTTTTTGTCTTTTCATCTGAGAGTTCAACATGTAACGAAATGTTACTGACTAATGTAAAGCACTTCTTTCAAACTGATCCTGTGTATTTTGAACTCTTACACTTCATTCCTACCACCACATCTGAAAAAATTAACTTTTTATGAAAACAGGAAGCTGACTATAAATACTGAAATTGCTCTAGCCTGTAACAGCCAGGAAGGTAATCTGCTGAGTTTTAACAGTGCCCAAGTCATAACCTCTAGCACAGTTAAGCTTACAGTAAAGGCTCCCATGTTACTGAAAAAAAATGGCTGTTTGTACTTATTATATGGTTTCTATACTTCTGAATTTGAATGGCACATTCTAAAAGTTCTCTGAATTAAACATATATGAAATCCATGGTACACAGAAGTGGATTGTGAAATTCCCTGCAGAATCTTTGTATTGAAACAGGTCTTGAAACAACCTCAGCTGAGTTCAGTTTGCTTTGTTACCTGTAAGCCTTTCTTTATGGCCAGGGTTGGTTGTGCTGTAGAAGTCTCAGTCGCACTGGGGCAGAACAAAAAGGCTACAATCTTATATCAGTTTTGCAGCTAACAGAAACAAAGGCAACATTCTTAATTCATTTCCATTTTGCTTACACTGTAGTAGAGTCATAGAATGGTTTAATTTGTAGGAGACCCTTAAAGACCATCCAGTTCCAATGCCCCTGCCATAGGCAGGGATTTTGCACACTAGTTTGGGTTGCCCAAAGTACCCTACCCAACCTGGCCTTGAACACTCCCAGGGATGAGGCATCCACTGCTTCTTTTGGGAACCTGTTCCAGTGTCTCACCACCCTCATCATGGAATTTTTCTTCCTTACATTCAATTTAAGTCTCCTGTTGTTCAGTTTTAAACCATTGTCGTTTTTCCAGTCAGTGTATGATCTGGTAGAAAGTCTTGCAGTCCTTATTATAAGTTACCTATGTACATTGAAAGTCTTCTCCAAGTGTTTTCTCCAAATTTTTCTCTTCTCCAAACATTTCTTTTCTCCAACCACAACTCTCTCAGCCTGCCTTCATGGGAGATGTTCTTCAGCTCTCTGTGATCATTTTTGTGGCCCTCCTCTGGATGCAGTATAACAGGTCCATGTTTTTCTTGTGCTGGGGACTGAGAACTGGAGACATTACTCTGTGAGAGGTCTCATGGGAGCAAAGCAGAGGGGGATAGTAATCTCCTTCACTGTGCTGGCCATACTTTTTAATGCAGGCATAATGTGTCTTCCATCCATTAGCACCCCCAAATCCTTCTCTACAGGGCTGATTTGATCTATTCATCCCCCAGCCTGTACTGACCTTGGGGATTACCCCAGCTCAGATGCAGAACTTTACACTTGGCCTTGTTTAACAGACCCACTCCTCAAGCCAGATTACATCCCTGCAGTCTAGCATATCAAAGTTATTCTGAACTTTGAAAGTTTATTATTTTTGAAACAATGTTAAGCACAGAGTCAGTAAGAAGTGTCAGTTTTGCACTTTGCATCTTTCAGACTACCTGTTGCATAGTACCCATGACTTAACCACCCGGACTAGTTTACTGTGCCCAGATGCTCAGTCTTGAAAGCCTCACACTTCTTGTAGAAGTGGTCGCAAACTCTGCATTAATAGGTATCCCAAATGTCTAAGAACTTTTTATCATCGCCTAGGTGAATTAGGATAACGGTGTTACAAGAACCAATATACAGTGTTATTATGTGAAGAAAAAGCTTTCCTTTTATTTGTTTAATTGTGTCAGAATTACATTCCTATTTACTTGGCAGCCCAGTTTCTTTGACTTTCAGTGACTGACTGTTACCGTTTGGTTGCTCTTGAAGGAAAAATTTTGCTACAGAATAAGATACATGTCTTACCTGGTTATTTTGTTTTTGCTGACTGATACTTGCCTCATTCAGTGTTGCAGTTTGAATCAGGCTGTTACTTGAAATTAAGATTTCTTTTGTAATTTCTATGGGAATAACTAATTTGCTAAATTATCATTATTTCCTTAAGGCTAAAAATCATAAACTTAAGTGATCTCTTCTGTCCTGTAAATACTTAGAAGGATCCTTGATCCTAGAGCCACTGTCAGTACTACTGATTAGTTATCATAGGTAATGGTAAAAGTAAAGGCATGTTTTAACAAGTTCTTGCTGAGTTAGCATGGAAAGCTTTTTTTTTTTTTAGTAAGGATTTTCTGAGTATCTTTAGATAAACTACAGAATTGCATAGTGTCTGCTCTAGAATGATGACTAAAATATCCAAACTGTGGTGTCTAGACCCAGATATCTCTATAATAGAGTGGCTCCTCAGAGGTGCCGAAAGAGTCCATTAGCTTTAGAATCCTCTCCAGCTAGAGAAAACTGGTTAATGGTAACAATTCTCTTTACATGTCATTAGTAGCAATAACACTGGCAATAATACATGGAATTTTTTACCTTACCACTTTGCTTCAACACTAATAGGAGAAATAATACTTCTCAATGCACAGAGAAAAACTAATTTTTACTTATGGTTCTAAAGAGACTTAGTTCTGCTTTTTCTCTCCTATACTTCTGGGACTTAGGTATTTCCACAGGTGGACGTGTAAACCCTCGAGAAGGAATTGTGCTTCACTCCACAAAGCTCATTCAGGAGTGGAGCTCTGTAGATCTCAGAACCCCAATATCTGATGCTCTGCACTTGCCAGTCTGGGTGGACAACGATGGAAACTGTGCTGCTCTAGCAGAAAGGAAATTTGGTCATGGAAAAGGAATAGAAAATTTTGTAACACTCATCACTGGTACAGGTGAGTATGTTATAGTTCAGTGAAAAGTGAAGTTGAAACACCAGAATACTCAGAGGCTCATCTGGTTTTAAAAGCATAAACACCTGATAAGCACCTGTAAAGCTCTGATATATTAACTTCTTAAACCACAAATCCTTGTGCCACTATATCTGTTTGTACTTTTATTCAGGTGAATGATATGATACCCTTTGCATGGTACATCTTTCTTGATAAATGTAAATTCTGCTGTTGCTGACAAGACATTTTCTTGAAATAAGCAAAATTTGATCAATTTTAGCTGGAGTAATTTTAGTTTGTTCAGCTCTATATCTTAATTATTTCTCTTCTGTCTGCAGAAATACAAGATCAGAGTATATATGTAGAATAGCTAGATAAGAAAACTGAGTAAGACAGATAGTATCTCAAGTGCAGAGGTAGACTTTTCTTCCTAAGCATACAGTCCTTTTGACCATTTGCCACAACATTTACAGTATTCTTTATGACTAGTTATTCTAAACAGCTGTTGAAATACAGTATTAAAACCTCTGAAAATAAAAAAATTTAAGGCCACTTCTGGTGTCATCTTTGAGGAAAAAAGCATGATCCACAAGCTTAAAAGATCTGTTACAGTAGTCCCGTGTCATCCACAGATTTTAAATAAGATTGGAAAAAATAGCAAGCAATATATACTGGTTTTGTTACATAAGAACAGGAGGTAATACAAGCTTACTTAGTATGTATGCTGAATAGGAGAAATTTGTTGAATAACAGTCATTTGTGGGCTCCCGTACAGAAGACCATGGATGCACATACTTTTTCCAATCTGTATTAGAATAAGCCAATTTCAATGTCTTACTGAACTGGGGTGTTTGAAGACTGCATTTTACTTTTTTTACTATTGGCTGGTTTTGTATCTTTGCAGGAATTGGAGGTGGAATCATACATCAACATGAATTGATCCATGGCAGTTCTTTCTGTGCTGCTGAGCTTGGGCATATTGTAGTATCTTTAGATGGACCAGAGTGCCTGTGTGGTAGCCAAGGATGTATAGAAGCGTATGCCTCTGGAATAGCATTACAGAGAGAAGCTAAGAAACTGCATGACGGTACCTATGGTTTTATTTTTGAAAACATTTAAATGATTCCTAAATTGCAGTATAGTTAAAAAAAAAAAATTCAAAGGAGACATTGAAAAAAAGACCTGCCACCAGGAGGAGGCAATAGCAGGTATACAGGCAACTGGCTAGAAGGTCCTGTGTATAGGCAGTGGAGGAGCTGCAACAGCCTGTATTAGTACCAAACAATTCTTTTTCAGATATGGTAGTATGCAGTCACGCCATATTTAGAACCTCTGGCTTCAAAATTGCAATAAACATGTAGCAGAGTTCAGTTTCTCCTTTTTAATGATGTGGTAAGTTTTGCAACTTGACAGGCATTCTGTGAGCAGTTGAGTTTCACAGGCATCATCTTTCAGCAACAGCTTCTCACTCTGTTGACTGAGTTTGATAACATTTATATTTGATTTTATGAAGGTTTTAGTGCAGGTAATCATATTAGTGAATTACTTTGTTTGAATTTGATGCTCTCCTTCTACAAGCAGTTCTCTGAACTGTGATCACTAAATTCAGAGCAGAGCCGATAGCTCAAATTTCAGACTTCAGAATGTAAGTAGAGACATAGAAAAATTAATTGCTGTTTATTCCATTTCTTAAGTTAACACATCACCGTTTTTATCTCTTGGCTTTCTCTCCTCCTCTCCAAACAGAGGATCTGCTTTTAGTAGAAGGAATGTCAATGAAGAATGAAGAGGTTGTTAGTGCTGCACATCTCATTCAAGCAGCTAAACTTGGAAACACAAAGGCAGAAAGCATTCTCAGAACAGGTAAGAAGACAGCCAAAGGTGGAAAAACCCTCCCATGATTAGATTTTTGGGGATACAGATATGGTAATACACTACAAACACAACACCAATGTACATTTGAGGACCTCTATCTTTATAATTTCTACCTGTAATGAAATGTTAAACACAAGTGTTGGAGGAAGTGTGAGCAGAAGGTATATCAAAGATTTTCTGTTCTAATAAATAAGATTAAAATCCTGAAAAGATCAGTTTGGTCTTAAATGAAAAAAAGAAGTGAGGTCTCAAGGTCTTCATGTTGAAGAATTTGGGAAAAGACATTTTATTGTATGCAAGTGAATGTCTAGTCTGAGCAAGCAGAGGCAATTTGCCTATTATTTTACATGGGATAATTTACTATTTTACTAGCTTGAAACATATAGTCATAGAATCATGATCAAGGTTGGTAAAGATCTCTAAGATCATCCAGTCCAACCATCCACCTATCACCAATATTTCCCACAAAACCAAGTCCCTCAGTACCACATCTAAGCATTTCTTGAACACCTCCAGGGACAGTGATTTCACCACCTCCTTGGGCAGCCCATTCCAGCTCTTGACTGCTCTCTTGGAGAAGTATTTCCTAACATCCAACCTGAATCTTGCCTGGAAGAACTTGAGGCCATTCCCTCTCATCCTATTACTAGTTACATGGGAGAAGAGGCTGACCCCCACATCACCACAACCTTCCTTCAGGCAGTTGTAGAGAGCAATAAGGTCAATCCTGAGCCTCCTCATCTCCAGACTGAACAATCCCATCTCCCTCAGCCACTTTCCATAAGACCTGTATTCCAGACCCCTCACAGCTTTGTTACCCTTCTCTGGACGTGCTCCAGGGCCTCAGTGTCTTTCTTGCAGTGAGGAGCCCAAAACTGAACACAGTACTTGAGCCATGGCCTCACCAGGACTGAGTACAGAGGGCCAATCACTTACTGGCTGCACTATTTCTGATAGAAGCCAGGATGCCATTGGCCTTTCTTCATACATACCTGGTAGCACTGAGAAGTTAGAATAATGCTTTGCTGTTTTCTTCTAGAGTACAAGTGTGGTAATACACAGCTTGATCTTTCACATCCATATTATTGAATAATGCACTACTGCACTTCTTTTTTTCCTTTTAAAGGAAAGATTAATACAGTCTGATAACATAAGTTCAAAACTTGTAACATTCTTCTGAATACTGAGTTATTTGCTGCTATCAGATCTATTTCAAAAAATTGTGTTTGCACTGCTTTGAGTATTCCATGTAATTTCATTTATTTTTTTCAGCTGGTACAGCATTAGGACTTGGAGTTGTGAACATTCTGCACACCATGAACCCCTCCCTTGTGATCCTTTCTGGAGTTCTAGCCAGCCACTATATTAATGCTGTCAAAGATGTGATACATCGACAGGCTCTGTCATCTGTTAAAACTGTGGATGTGGTGGTCTCAAATCTAGCAGACCCTGCTCTTCTTGGAGCTGCTAGCCTGGTACTGGATTATACTACCCGTAGAATATACTAGGTGCCTGGAAGAATTACAGAAATGAACTATTCATATTCCTTATGGGTGGAGGGAATACTTTGCCCAAAATCTTTTTTTGACCAGAGCAGCTACAGAATCAGAGTAATGATGTTCTAAATAGTTAGTGACTACATTTCCTAATTGAGGTATTAGCTTTTTGTAGTTTTTCTAAATTTCATCAAAATTCGTAGGAACTATTGTGCAATTCTGTTGATTTTAATCACCTCAAAGCCCAGAGTAGGCTTTAAGTGTAGCTGAATTATTTATGAGCGTATCTTGATGTAAGGTAGGGAATATGTGTATTGTGTCAAATTATAGCTAATACTTGGGGATCCAGTTCTCATTTTTCACCTTTGTGAAATGAGAAGTCTACAATGTGACCAGCTTTTCGATTTACAGGTTTCCACCCACACAGTAAATAGGATACAATCACCAACAGCAGGTGTTAGTTTCTGTAAGTGGAAACAACAGAAGGTGCCTCCGCAAACAAAGCTCTATTTAGAAGTGGTTTGTGAAGGACTTGGAGGATACAGTTATTTATTACATCGCCGTTAGAGGGCAGAGTCCCATTTTAGAAGCTTTGCATATGAAGGAGAAAGATGTCTCGTGAGCTTGCACGCTGCAAGAGCAGTCCAAACAAACTGACAAGTGTAGCAGTGTTCACCTTTGTGTTCTGGCTACAGCCCGCAGTAAGTATTTTTATTTTTGAGGTTGAATTTCATTTTAATGGGTATTCTCAAGGGACTTAGTCTACCACTTTGTCTCCCAAATTAGCAGAGGGGACTTTATTCTTCAGTGGCCAGTTATCTGACAGCCAATAATGTGGTATATATAAGCATAAAGACTGCCTCTTGAGAAATCTCATTCACTGCAGAGTGACTTAGCGCATCTCCTCAGCAGTGCTGGGGATGCAGGTGAAGTGTCAGTGATGTCCTGCATTTACCATCAACTCATAGGATGGAAAGTTAAATCTGAGCCTCGTCCTCACAAGGTATTTATTAGCCTTGGAGCAGCTAACCTTAAAGGCTTGCCTTGTTAAAAAACAGTTTATATGACACTCTGGAAATTTTTACAGGAAACATTCTGAGAGAGAGAGAGGGCTTTTCTGGGACCTGCATAGAGGCCAAAGATCACACAGTGTACTGTGTGCATTTAAGGAAGGCAGGTTTCTTTAGCTTTAAGTCTTTATTTGATACATAGTTCTGTCTCTATTGATCTGCTTTTTGGCATGCTTTCAAGATGCTGTAATACTGACAATTACTTGACACAAGAAGAAACTTAAAAACAGGACAGTGTAAGTGGTCAGCTATCCCAGAAAAAAGACAGCAGCCAGAGAAACAATCTTGTATCCTGGCATTTAATGAATCATCTACTCCATAGTGAGGATATACTGGCTCTTAACCTTTGCTAAGTTGCATCAGGCTTTATGTGTTCCTTTTCATTAGTGTCTGGATTTAGTTGATGGGTTCCTTCACTAACTAGGACTAGACTAGACTAACTTCAGTACTAGAGCAGTAGCTCCATGAGCAGGTCAAGAAGTCTGTTTTGATCTACAGTGACAACAGCTCAGGGTGGGGATAATAGTATTGAGGTTCTAGCAGAGAGAATACCTATCGTTTGACCTTTCCATCCCCCCAGCATCACGAGGACTGTTTGATAAAAAGTGGGACCAGGTTTTGCTTTCCAGACTTCCCAATGCTGTTTCCCTTTTGACATCTCAGATAAAATTTCTCCTTAGCAGCTGAAGGGAGATGGCAGGCAGTGACAAAATATGAAAGATGTTTAAACATTTGAAAACATTTGATAAAATAAACCAAAAGTCTATTTTCTTTAAGAAAACAATTATTAAAATGTTTTTGAAGTTGTTTTTTTCTGGCAACTGGACAAAAACCAGCTGCAAAGGGGCAAGTGGTGCAGAAGAAGTCCTTGGTTTTCCTGAGACAGTTGTCAGTTTATAAAATTAAAAAGATGTTCATATTTAAAAGTGTGACTTTTGTTTGCTTTTTCTGTTATTTCTTCCTCCCCTGTTCAGAATCCTGTCACACCTCAGACACTTCTTTGTGAACCAAAGGTTTCATGGACACTACTCTTAGTCCTATCCAGTGCCAGGGGAGAATATCTACAGTGCCATGCTGTGTGATTAGTATATGTTGACCCTGTGCACTTTAAAGCACCCCACTCCTTGAAAGTCATGAGCCCTACTGACAGCAAAGCGGCCTTTATATCCATTTCTGGGAGGGCAGAAAGGCAATAGCTGGATTTCCTTTTTCCAAACTATCTTCAGCATTTTCAGACTGTAACGAAATGTGAGACTTACACAATCGTGCCTTCCCGTTACTGTACTGGAACCATCTGCTAAAGCCACCTGTTGGAGGAGGTGGAAGTCTGGTTTTACAATGTGCCTTGTAAGTGCACATGTTATCACAACTGTGCTGAAGTTTTAATAAGCTTGCCAAGCATGCCACAGTCAACTCTCTGAACAGAATGGCATACGGCTCTGAGGAGCATTCCAGGAGACCCCTTGGGACATGCATTTTTATCATCAGTATTAACATGCACTAGCAGTACCTGAAATTGCATAGTGCCAAAAGGCTGAAAAGTAATTTCAACTGATGCAGGCTCAGTGCTGTACCTTACAATGAATGTAGTCACTACAAGACTTCTGTGTGTCCACATGCTGCATTGCTCCATCTGGTAGGAAAACTAGTCCGCTGCTGCTTGCCTGCTGATCTCTGCTGATGTTTTGCAAGCAGCATAGCTACTCAGCACTGCAACAATGTCTGGAATGTCTTTTTAGTCTCCTGAGCAACAAGCGTAGTTATTCTGTAATTATTCTGTCTTTGATCTGCTGTCCAGAGAGTGAAAATCAACAAATGCCACAGTCTTCTGGAGGTCCTTCCATTTAAATGGTCAAAAATTGGGATGCACAACCAAGTAGAAATATTGTTAACGGTGTATTGCAGAAACAAATCATACTGCACAGTGAAAGTCACCTGCCTCAGTGAAATCTGATTACCGTGCCTCTCTCAAATGCAGTGGAGAGTATGCAGGCATTAATGAGGGGAAAATGCTGGAACTGTACAGCCCTCAGGGAAGTCCAAGTAACTTCGGAAAATTGCTCATCAAAGGCACACTAAAACCCTTGCTTTGGCAGCTGAAATGTCCTTGCTAATGTCATGCATTTAGTACAGCTGTGTTTTAGTCTGGCACCCAGCTGTGTTTGCTTTGTAGTCTGAAAGCAGATACTTCGCACTATGAGTATGTAAGTAAGTGTTTTAAAAACAGCTAAAGATGCTCATGAGGTTCTGAAGAAGACACAGAAAGCCAAAGTCCATGGATTAAGTTTGCACAAGCAACTGTAGCACTTTTGGGTTGGTCCATCAGCTAATTCACACAAAGCACGAAACACATACTTTGCTCTTTGGAAACAGAATGATGCCCAAAACACTGACTGTATGGTACACTCCAGTTTGGTGTAAAATCATACTAAGTTTACACTTTCCAGAATGAGCAAGGCAACAAGGACATGGGTAATGCAGCCAATTTTCTGCTACTCTCATAACCGAGGGAAGCTTTTGTGTGCACAGCCTTCCTCCTGGTCCCATACAGGTATCAGCAGTACTGTAAGCAAACCAAAGATCATTATGAATCTTTAACTTTTAGCTGAAGAGGATCTTGTTTGAGACCTCACTTTTTTTTTTTGTTGTTTGTTTAAAAAGAGATAGTACCTCCCCACACAATCAGGCTTTGCTTTTACAATCAGGCCACCATTGCTACAACTCCTAATTTAAATGGACTGTCCCATACCCGGTCACAGCACAAAGGCCTCCATTGAGAACCTTTCACAATGAAGATCAGCAGACTGCCCAGACTTGCACAGACTACACCCAATGCCAACATGCTGCTGCAGCATCACTGCTCTGCAGAGGAACAAGCTTGCCCATGTGACAGGTACCACCAGATGAATCCTCTTGTCAACCCCAACAGACAATCCCTTGTCCCTTCTCAAATACTTGCCCGTAAACTATGTGTTCTCTTCTTGACCAGCCGCAAAAAAAAAAAAAAAAAAAAAAAAAAAAAAAGGGTTGGTTAAAAAAGAAAGGTAAATTTTTGTTTTGATCGGCAAGGGAATAGGTAAAAAAGGCAGAAAGCTGCAGGGCAGTACTCAGGTTCCTATCTCTAATGAACTCATGGCCTTGACACCATCCCCCTTCAGCTCTACATACGCTCATCACCATTTCAGGCCAGTATGGTCTGTCTGCCACCTGACCACAGGCTAAATGAAGCCAGTCATATTCCAGGATGTATTCAGTAGAGTCTACAGCTTCTCTCAATGCTGCTGGTGTGCATACAGCTGGAATTTAGTTTAAAAGACGGGAATTGTCCATGTTTTTTGAGATTCCGTTGATAGTTTTCTTCAGCCCCATTACTGCTATGGAAATAAACAGTGGTGGGAAGAGGACTGAGTCTGCTCAGCTAGGCTAGACACAGTGCAAAAGCGTCATGCCAAGTCACAGAACAGTGGCAGATGCTCACCAGAAAGGAGTCTGTTCTGAAGTACAGACAAGGAGTTAGATTCACCCAGAGAAAGTTAACTGCCTTTTTGCTCTGTTGAATATGGCATAAGTAACAAAAACAATTTTCAGACAGCATGAGTACAGTATGAGTATACTACAACACACTGACTACTTACAGGCACCTCAGTGCAAGAGAAAACACAGACACATTGGTGCACTGAGGTGACAAACAACTTGGAGCACCTCTCCTACAGTGCTGAGACTGTTAAGTCCGGAGAAGTGGAGGTTCCCACTTATCAGGGATTTTATCAGTGTGTATGAATAGCTGGAGGGACAGCATAAAGAAGATGCAGTCAGGCTCTTTTTAGAAATGCCCGGTGCCAGGACAGGGTGCAGTGCATGTAAACTGGCACACAGAAAGCTTCCTCTGTACTCCATGTTAGTCTGCATAAGGAATCCTCCCCAAACTAAGCTAGGCTTTCAGCTCATGCACACAAGATTAAGAAATCCTACACATTAGCTAAGCTACTATATCAACCAGAGCAAAGCTGGAATCTGATCTGAATGCTGGCATCTGAGGCAGCCTCCACACCAAAGGGCTCCGCCTGTGAAACTGGTATTGAATAATTACATGGCAAAACAGATATCCCAACAAGCAGATGGATGTCAGAGTTTGTAACTACTCAATGCCCTTGTGGTATTTTCTGTACCTAAAACCTATAGCCGGAGTGAGTTTGTCACCTAGCAGAAAACTATCAACAAGGTAGCGTCCTTGGTTCAAACAGAACTAAGATAAGCTCCTTAACAGGCCTGGTGCTCCAGTTTCCCAAAGCTTCTGCCTTGTGTAATAAATTGGATAAGGAAGCAGTTCTAACTAAAGCTCTCAAGAGCTTTAAGAAAGCTTACAGAGAGACAAGCAGGACAGCCTCTGAGAAACTAGAGATACTGCTGGCTAGTCATTCACTAGCACAGAGAAACATTTGATTTAAACACTCCCTGTGAAAAGAGTGCAGGAGAGCTTCTGAATTCATCCAGAGTCAACACATTTTGCAGTTTAACACATCTTTAATATCAGTAACGCTGGAAGTGACTTCTCAGTGCAAATAGCACAGACTACAGTTCAGGAGGTTCTCTCATTTAAAACAAAGACATGAGGAAGAACATGCAATGAAACAGTGATCAGCTCTAGATACATCATGTTTGGTCCAACAAAAACATAGAAGCAATTAATCCAATTACAGCAAACATAGCTTCTCTGAGTAAGGTTAAGATATTGCATTTGTAGTGTTTCCATTGTGCCTTTCTTCAGCGAACCAGCGGAGCCTGCTTGAGTGAGATGAGGACTGAACGCATGCGGGACACATCTTTAGCCTGCTTACTAGACTTGGGATTAAAGTCACAGAGCTGAGCCACGCGTTCCCACTCAGTGCCTGGAAAAACATCTTCTGCATCACTCACAAAGGCTTCTTCAGCTGCCCTGAAAGCAATGCAATGGACCTTGTGTTAATGCCCAACATAAGGCACTCCTTCCCACTTACAGGATGCAGTTCCTTTCAGCACGTTTCATAAGAAATGTGACCTGACAGCTGCTTGTGAACATCATGGCTACTTAAGCTCCCACTGCCCCAGCCCTGGAGATGGAAATAGGTTGCAGTAGTATGCTATGCACAAGCAGTGCAAAAGATTGCTGTGTAAAATGTTGGAATACAGGTGTTTGGTTTTAAGAGTAGTCACTGAGTCTTTGCCTACAGGAGTCACCAAACTCCCAGAAGGTAAGGTACTCCTGTGCAGACATTTTATTTATGGAAAAATGCCCAGGTCTTAAATATTTAAGCTTCTGTCACTTGATGGCTTGCTTTGGACACTTGCCAACCAGAAATTTACAGTTCCCTGCAAGCATGTCTTAGAATAGATTCCATTTGAGGATTTAAATCAGTTCCAAGGCCTTCAGGCCATCATAAAACTATCTGCTGATGTTTCCCAATGCTGTATGGAAGCAGTATTAATCACAAGGAACGTAAGTAATGAATTCCATGCCTGTGGGTGCTGTAGTCTAAAGCACATCTTGGAAGATAGGATGACTCATCTGAAGTCAGCTAGCAGGATAAACATGTTTCCCCTCTTCTTACCCTAAGGATACTCTAAGGAAGCTTTATACAATATGTACAGGTTAGCACCAGAGGCTTCCCAGCAGTATCCTTTTGGCATTTCTGTGCTACCAACAGCATTGCTTCAATGCACGTGTAACAATCCAGTATCATTTACTGGAACTCTGGGGCCCTGGTAGCTGCCTGAGTAAAAGAGCAGTAAGCATTGAGAGATCAAACCAAATCCATCTACTCCAACAAGCAGTACAGAAAAAGCAGTGAGGATGACTCCCCCATGAGGGTTCAGCACTGTTCACAGGGATGATAAGGTTACAGACACCACTGAAGACAAGGATCACTACAACACTGCTACTTTATGTGACATGACACTTTTAATGGGCAGTGAAGGTTTTTTACTTAACTGTTCTAGGCTGTAGCAAGGATGATTTATGTTTGTGCTTAAAGGTGAAGAGAAGAAAAGAAACGAGAGAAAGTTTAAGTCAGATACAGAAAATGAGAATGAGTTTAATGCAGATGGTCAGCTGGCTCAACATGCACTAGCAGTTTGGCCTACATTCAGGAAGCATGCTGCCAATTTTATTCTGCAGCACTTGCACTGCACATTTGCTACAGGAAAAGAAGGATTTTATTGGAAAAAATTTAAGTTAACTCCAGGAAACTTCAGAACAAAGTCAAACACCACCTGTAAATCCATCATTTCACAAGTCTTGCTTTACATCCATCTACAATTAGGTAATGAATTCCACACTTGACCTTCAGTATAAATGCACTCAAAGACAAACCATGGTTCACCAGTACACCTTCTAAAGGTGTCACCTTAGAATCTGTGACATGGCCATCTTTCAATTCAAGTCTACAAATTAAGGGAAGAAATTAAAATACATGAACAAGCCAATGAACCTTGCAACCCTTTTGCCCCACAGAAACTAGCATAATTACTGGGGCTTGAATATCCTGGCTGTCTTCTCACTGATCTGTGAGGCTGGCAATACATCTGCACATATGTGCTCTTTCACCAGCAACTACTAGCTTTCTAGTACCATCATCTTGTTTTTTCCACATGTTCTCTAATAGCATCCTAAATTCTATAGGCACCTCTTCTCCTTTGATTTAAGCATGCAATTTCTTCCCCTTGCACTGTATGTGAACCTCATTTTAATCTTTTTCTGATTATTTAGTCAAATGGAACAGACCAGGAACACAGTGCCTATGACAAAACATGCAGTTATACTTTATACTTCACCATGGAAGTGACTGGGACTAAACACAGCACCCACATGAGACTCCATCTGACTGTAACCCATACATGCATCAAAGCACCTTGTTGCATTGGCCTGGAAGGTCAGTAAACTGAAGCCCAATGTATTACAGGGTACTGAATCACTGACAAAATTCCAGTGGCATGTATTCTACATAATTTAAGTGTGCTGGGTATGATCATCACAGGAAAACAGCACTTAATGCTGCAGATCAGAGTCAGGACAAAAAACAGGCTATTATTCTACTTTTTTAATTATTATTATTCTACTATTATACTGGCTGAAATATTTGGCAGAAGACATCTTCAGACATTCAGCACTATTTCAGACCCTCCTCATTACCTAGCTGACTAGCAAACAGAATTAGTAGTTAAGCAACATACACATAACCAATCACGTCAGCGAAGGGTTGTTTGTAGAAAGCTTCATCTGCCACCCTAGGTAGCAAATAGTCCAACAGGCAGGCAAGCAGGCAGGAGAAAAGAGATAAGGATGAGAAGTACAGAACACAACCGAAGGCAGTTTTAAAAAGCAAGTTTAACTAGTATCACCTACACTCACTGAAACAGGGAAGCAGCGGCCACACAGAACATACCAATTAAGCTGCTAACTCAAGGGGGAACACAAAAACTCTCCTATATCATAGAAAATTAGGACTACCTAGTTTAGGGCTAGTCCCAGTGTTGGCATGACATCATCTCCAGATACCAGAGACTACTTGAAGTAGAGAGATCTCACCAGGTTGGTGAGAATGCTGAACATCCCCTCAGATAAACACTTGACTTTTCTGACTACAGCTCTTTTTAAATTGACCTTACTCCAGAATGCGCACCCTGATCTCAAACCACTGGCCAAGACAAAGTTAAAGAGGTAATAAGCTCTTGCCACCACCTGTAACAGCTATCTTGTTTTCAGCCCAACAGAAAGACTGTGTCTGAGGGAATGAAAGTGTCAAATCCATAGTTCTGTAGGAAGTATAAAGTCTCCTTTTGTCATTCAGTAAGTAAAGTCTACTTAAGACTACTTATGATAAACCAGCTCTTCAGATAGGAAAAATGGCATTTCAAAAATCATTTCAATTTGAAGTCTACAGATTCCCAAAGTTTAAAGCAGCCCCAATGACTACCTGAAGAAAATGACACTGGCAGACTTAGGTCAGAAGTGAAGTCCTAAGCGTTATTAAGTCAGCATTATCATATTTACCTTTATGTAGCCAGAAGTCAAAGTTCTGCATGGAACTCATAAGGAAGTGTAAGAATTTACTAGATTGTGCCTAGGTCACTTGTTTCTGCTCCACAGCCCATAAAAGCCAATTCAAGCATGATGAATTTAATGAGTTAAATAGTCACTCACAGAACTCTGCTTATTTCTCATAAACTTCCACAAGAAGCAGCCAAAGGTTTTAAGATATCTAATGAAATAATCTGCTTTGGAGTAACTAGGAGACCACTTCCAAGTTTCTGAGAGCTGGCAAGTAAGACCGCTAGCTGCAAGGTAATTAGCCACTGAAGAGCTGTGCAGCTAGGTACATACAGAGAAGTGAGCAGACTGAACAGTTCTGTCCAAATTCAAGTTTTGTATTAAAGGAAGCTTCTGAAATAGCTTGTTATTTCAGTGTTCCCATTTGGACATTTAAGCTAGCCTCTAAAGAAACTCAGACTAGTCTACAACTGGACACTCATCTCTTAACAGGATAGTTAGTGGGCTGAAGGACTAGCGACTTAGGATATAGTAAACATTCTACTCTTCTCTCCTTTGCCTAATTACTTCCAAAGCCAGCAATATAGCTCTTCAGATAGCTGGAGAAATCTTACCTGTTGCTAGCTTTTGTTTTCTGGAGCTTTTCATCTTGTCTGGCATACCACTCCTCCAACTCCTTTATTGCTTTCTCCTTCCATTCTGCTTCCTGTTTTCTTGAGTTAGCATCTAAAGATTCAAGAATTGATTTATCAGTCATGTTTATTCCAATTGGATTTCATTAACATTTCAACTGATAGTTCAGGGTGTACTCTAGTGCAAATTATTACTTAATCCACTCAAATATGGTTTATGAGGTTCTCTGATTTAGGCCATGAGAACTCTAATGCCCTCAACATTCAAAAGATTAGCTAAACAGAATGTCCCTGTACAGCACTGAGACAGTCTAGTTCAATTTAGTCTAAGCATATGTAGACTAATTATAATACAGTCAGTCTGCTAGCCTGCAAACCATTCGAAAACACTGCCACCTTGCTATGGCTGTTCTAGAATAAAGCTCAGTAAACTCTCTACATTAGACAAATTAAGGGAATGTGATACTCAGTTTGCCTTTACACCCAACTCACAGTTCAGGATAAGCTCATCTGTTGTAACTAGTATAAAAGAGGAACAACAGACTCAGCTCTGTCTGGAATCATATGTTCAGAAGGCTGTCCTGATGGTCTCAAAGTAAGGCCTCCTCCGTAGAGAAACTGGAAAGTACACCAGTTTAGAGTTGTCCACAGGTAGGTATGGCTGCCTTTGATAGCTGAATTTAGTTACTACTTGGTTATTTAATTTCACTATGACAAAACGACAAGTGGCCTCAGCAATCTTAAAATGAGCAATCTCCTTCCTTGAAGAAAAGTGCTGGCAGTTGTATCTACTCATTCTTTCCTGCTGATAAAAGCTGTTCATTTTCTGCTACAGAACTGAGGAACTCACTGGTAAGTTAAACAGGCCACTTCAGTAGTGTCGGAAGAAAGTTCAGAGAACCACTTGCTTCCTAACTCCTACACCAATATTAAAAGTTTGCTTACTAGAAGTCTTACCCTGTAGGCTGGCTGCTTAAGCAGCAAGTTGAACTCCAGAAAGCTAGAGGCCATTGTTTGAAAAGCTCTCCTGCTTAAGAAACTGCCACTTCTGAGTTTCAACCAAGAATACCACTACAACAAACAGTCTCCTTACCAAGCTGCTCAAGGCGCTCCTTTTGCTCCTCTCTCCACTTACGAATGCTCTCTGGTTCTGACTGCAGTCGATCTACTTGTGATATGGCAGCATAGCAGTCTGTTGGACCATTGCTTTCCTTGGGAAAAAAGAAATGTCATTTAAACATTAAAACTGTACATTTCAGTAAATACCTGCAAGCTACAAAAAGTAGAGATTTGAACTGAACATGTGATATTCTTCTGATGCTATACCACATTCATACCACATGATGAAAAATCTCTGGCTATAAAGGGCAGCACGATTGATGTAAACTAATATGAAAGTTGCCTCTAGCAACTGGGGATCAAACAAATTCAAGCTAACTGGGAATTCAAACTGTGTCAGAGGTCTAAGACCAAAGAAAGAATAAGACCATTCACAGAATCTCAGCTGTAGGCCTACAAACCCCCCAGCTAATATCACATTAAATTTTTGCAACAAAAGTATATTTTTGGAGGGTTTTTTTTGTGCACAGGAGATTTAAGTATTCTCTATAATTTGCATTTGTCTGCTTCAGAGAAATTTGCAAGCCTCAACGGAAGTTGGCTTCTAACATTGGTTAGAGGCATTACAGAATTGGGACTACTGTAAGCTGCTTAGAACACAAGATGCTTTTTTTTTTTTTTTTTTGCTTAAATTTTAAAAGGTATGCTAGCACTTGCAGTTTATCATACAACGTTTCAAAGACTTGCAGTGCACAGGGTTATTAATACATTAGACTTTCAAAGACAAGTGCATTGCCACAGAGCATACTCCACGTCCAACCCTTTCCATTGATTCACTATGCCCTTAACAGATTAAATACCTCATCAAGTGGAAGCTCTATCAAACAAAGCAGCTATTGGAATCATAAACAATCAAGGTATTTCATTTGCCTTTTATTGTATAACTGAGAACCAATAACAAGCAGTTTTCCTAAGAACCTCACAGCAAGAGTGAGGATATAAAAACGGTAGCAGTGAAAGCAGTTTGTTTCTGTCCATCTCAGTGTTCACTAATGTCTGTGGAAAAGTAGCTTATATGTTGCTCCCTTTTAAGTATTTATCTAAACAGGGCTCTCCAAAGAATTCTCTCAACAATCAGCAATGCCTTAGCAAAACAGGTATTAAATTCAGCTATACCACAACAATTGTGTGAGCATGCTCTGTTTCTCCCTGACACACACAAAACATTGTCTGTAATATAACAAACACGCTTTCATAATGTGAATGAGCCACATGCCAGTAATTTAATGTCATGCAACTTCACATCACTAACAAATATATTTTCAGTCAATTTGTTCCTTGTAAGACCAATTTTGATAAGACAACATGAGTTATCATTAAAGAGTAAGCAACTTGACTCTGAAGTAGATAATCAGAACATGTTCCATTTGGTTTATTAGCCTGTATCAAGTATATGCTAAGTCATATTACAGAACCGGTTGGAAACGACCTATAAGATCATCCAGTCCATCTCCTCATCACTATTGCCACCACAAGCACTAAACCATATCACACAGCACGTCATCCAGACGCCTCTTGAACACTGCCAGGGACGGCAACTCCACCACCTCTCTGC